GTTTGACTATCAATGTGCATTGGGAACTCTCCATGTCTGCGGTAAATTCCCCACATGTATGCATGCCTGTTGCAGAGTTACAATTATATAGCTGTAGTGGAAATGTATAGGGTAGCATGACAAGAGTTCATCTTCTATTCACTAATTTTGTGGCTGCACCTTTCAAATTATAGCCGTTTCCTTATCTGAGGGTAATATCTTCTCAAATCACAGGAGGGGTCAGACCGTGGACTGAAGCTAACTCCTTAACCAGCTCATTCTCTACTCCATGTAATTGTGTCTACACCCTTTTTTTGTAACCCATCCTGCATAATCGTAACTAGATGAACCTTTCTGGGTGAGGTTGTTTATGACACGCAGCTCCACTTGTCAGAACCGTCAGTAGATGGCGCAAGTGTCAAGTTGTATGTAAGCCTACACATCGAGACAGTTTGCATAGATTAGAGCTGCCGCAATAACTCATTGAGTTCATCTTTGACCTGCTGTCTTCTTCTGTACACTTAGATATTTTCTCGACGGTGCCACGGCTAAGTCAACTAATGTGTATGACCACATCAAAAGGGAAGAAAGTAAAAATAATTGAATCTGTTGCCGTACACTGGAAAAATTTTGGGGCATTATTGGACTTTGATCCCATGGGAAATCGCTTAGAGATAATTGCAGTAACTGAAAGAGAGCGGCCTGAAGAATGCTGCCGGTCAATGTTCCAATACTGGCTGGATGGAAATGGTGTTCCTGCCACATGGAGTACACTAATTGACATACTAAAGAACTGTCGTCTTAGTGTCTTAGCAGCTGAAGTGAAAGAAGCTCTCAAAACTAAGGTAAGCAGATACCACATGAGGGACTACGTCAGGGACATTCCTTTTGTTTCCTTGAGCAATACTCACAATAGGTTTGACTACTCATGTGCATCAAACCATGTTGGGGAAGTTTCTCCTCCATGTCTGTGTAAACTCCACACATGTATGGCATGCCTGTTGCCAGAGTACACTTATATGTATAGCTGTAGTTGTAATGTAGAGTAGCACGACAAGAATCCATCTTCTATTCACTATATTTGTGGCTGCAACCTTTCAAATTATACACCGTTCCTTATCTCAGGGTAATATCTTTCTCAAATCACAGGAGGGGTCAGAAAGAGGCAGCCGTGGGACTGAAGCTGAACTCCTTAACCCCAGCTCATTCTCTACTCTCATGTAATGTGTCTAGACCCTTTTTTGTAACCCCATCCTGCATAATTGTAACTACATGAACCTTTTCTGGGTGAGGTTGTTTATGACATGGGCAGCGCACACTTGTCAGACCGTCAGTAGATGGCGCAAGTCA